AAATATCCAGGCTAGTGCATTATGGAGCTTTTGCAACCTCACATGCTGCCTTTAGTAAGTTTGTCTGGAAGGGAACTTTCTGGGCCGGGGTGAATGCCAGTCAAGCCAGCACTAATCAGTTGTTCCCTCCTGCCTTTGAATTCAAAATGTGCCCTGCCTCTCTGCTCAATGGTTCCCCCCCCCCATAGTCTTTTGAAGTCTGTTGTCGAAAGCAATGATGTTTGTCAGTTTGCTGTATGATCTGTTTAACTGGAAGTAATGAAGCCTTTTATTCTTTCTCCTACTAACGTTTCAGAGTGAGTTACTGAGTCTATAAGTGCCAGTTAATGGGGGGGGGGGAATGGGTGCACTAATCAGGAGAACTTGAAGTCATCCCTGCGTTTCTGCTGCACAGCTAAAGGAATCTGACCAAAAACTTTAAAACTCTGCAACAGGACATCCATGAGTAACACAGATGGACTATTTTATTTGAACAGTGCAAGCATATGGAAGCTGTTGCCATCAGATGTGTGGATACGGCTGCAAACTTTAAAAAGGGATTGAAAGCAATCCTAGTGGGTGGGGCAATCCATGGCTGTTTGGTGCGATAGACTGAAAGGAGGTGAACTCTGTGTCAAGGCACAAATGTCTGGTTTGGGCAATTAGATTAATATGTTACTAATAAGGTGATGGTCTAACCTCAGGGTTTCAGGTTGGAGCCTTTCCTGGCCATACCTGGAATTCTATACCTTGGTGGCCTCTGCTCCAAATATTAATCCAGCCTGGCCCTGCTTAGTTTCCAAAATCAAACAGGCTCAGGTGCATTCCGTGTGGTCCAAGCAGCAGCTCTAGGAAAAGGATCTAGATTCTTTTGAACTCCCCCCCCCGAAAAGCCAGTGAAAGGGGACAACGGAACCTGTGCCTGCCCACTCTCATACAGGCACCTTCTCACAACCGCTTGCCGGCAACAGTATTATTTAAAATATATTATTTATGATTATTTCATTTCTTGGAATAGCGCTATTTCAACATGACAGAAAATATATGCAGCAGATCAGATGGCAAGATTTCCCTGCAGCACCAAACCCTGTGATCCTGGCATCCATTATTTGGCAAACCCCACAGACAAAATTTACTCTGACACAGATGAACTCACATGCCAAAATGATTCAAAATAAATCACGTTCACAATCAAGTTAAAAGAGACAACCCCCTCGAGGCTGTTTAAAATACCTCAATCACCAAACAACAGCAAAAAATTCCCGACCCCCCCAAAAAAAGTATGCTCAGCTGTACATTGTGTAAACAAATATTTTTGAACCTATTCCAAGCTTGCTAAACCTAATGCAACCCCAGGAGTTATTTAACATAGACCCACCTTCAAAGCCCTGCCTCCTCCAGCAGGTACCCACTCAGAGGCAGTGCCCTGCCTTTCCTGCCCTGCCTCCTCTGGGTGCTGCCTCTGAGTGAGCACCTACCGAAGGAGGCAGGGCCAAGAAGTGCCAAAAACCTATTTTAGCTAAACATTGCTAATTTTGCTGCGGTGTGTAATGCATTCAAACACCTTTTAAGAAGGTTGCTAATGTTTAAGGGTGTGATTTTTATCCCTGAAGCAAAAAAAACACCAACCTTTGGAGGTGAACTTTTTTTCCATGAATTGGCACAGAGATTACACCAGTGGTGAATCAATGATGCTAATTCTCACATGCTATGACATTTCGATAAAAGCATTGCTATATCAGTGGGCCCAAAGGGTTGCTCAATGAAGTGATGCACACCCAATGTGTGAATCAGTCACAACCTGGGAATGCATTTCCTCAATTCACACTTGTCTCTACCCCGCCCTCTACCAGAGAGGAGAAATGCCTACCTTTTTGGACCCCAGCTCCCAGAATTCCATAGGCTGAATGTGTATCCAAGTCATGTTGCCACATACATATATTTTCACCTATGGAATTCTGGAATTGTTATCCGCTCAAGAGAACTTGTGTTACATGGTAAAGGTAAAGGTTCCATTTGACATTTAGTCCAGTCGTGTCTGACTCTAGGGTGCGGTGCTCATCCCTGTTTCCAAGCCGTAGAGCCAGCGTTTGTCTGAAGACAGTTTCCGTGGTCACGTGGCCAGCACAACTAGACACGGAACGCCATGACCTTCCCACCAAAGCTGTGTTACATGTAAAGGTTCCCCTTGACAATTTGTCCAGTCGTGTCCGACTCTAGGTGGCGGTGCTCATTTCCGTTTCCAACCCATAGAGCTAGCGTTTGTCTGCAGAGAATCCTCTCTGGTCACGTGGCCAGCGTGATTAACACGGAACACCGTTTACCTTTCCACCGAGGCGGTACCTATTTATCTACCCATATTTTTGTACTTTGCATGCTTTCGAACTGCTAGGTTGGCGAGAGCTGGGACAAGCGACGGGGGCTCACTCCGTTGCGTGGATTCGATCTTATGACTGCAGGTCTTCTGACCTTGCAGGACAGAGGCTTCAGCGGTTTATCCTGCAGCACCCTTTTTTGTGTTACATGACTTCTATGGTCTTCTGACCTTGCAGGACAGAGGCTTTATCCTGCAGCACCCTTTTTTTGTGTTACATGACTTCTAAATAAATACTATATTGAGGGGACCTTTCCTCTGTTGAATAGAAGATAGTTATGCGGTACATCAGTGGTCCGAAATATCTGCCTTCCCAGTGACAATTTGTGGAAGAAACATTAATAATTGAAGATACGCAGTTGACACCATTCTACTGGCACAAAGCCGGAATGACTTGAAACGACTCTTAGGAAAAGTGTAAGAAGAAATTGCCAAAGCAGGATTACAGTTGTTCCATGCCGTGCTTCTGTGCTGAGTTCCATGGGAACATGAATAGGTTTGGGCTATCCCAATGAAGCTGGATGAGACCAAGTTGGACATGTCTGCATGGTAGGGCAGATGTTCCCACTGATCAGCAGACGGTGTGATTTTCCATCATCTTTGGCTGTTTGAGTATCAAAGTCAGCAGGCTTTGGAAGAATATAGTCATGGATTATTAGCTCATGAGATAACGAGAAGGAGAAGACAGGAATGTGAACATTAGTTTTGGTTTCATGTATGGCTTTTTTTTCTGCTAGGGGTTAAACAAACAAAACTCTCTCTGGAATATTATCTCCAGCAACCAGTAAAGTAAGTACATCATCATGGCTTCCCATGAGGTCTGAGTCAGCCCTGCATTCCTGTAATGCATTTACAGAAGCCGCACATGACCCTGACATTTGCCCAGAGTGGCATCACAATGATTCATCTTGCTAGAACTGAGATGCAAACATCAAGATAAAGTGACAGGAGGTTCCTCGTGGAGGTTCAGGTGGTTGCTAGTACATTTTGTGCCCATGAGTGGCTTTGGCCCCTCTTCGCTGTTACATATGGGGACATGTGCCCAGTGTTCATACTTATGCACACAAGTAGAGATCCACACAGATTATGCCGTACAGTGCCTGGGTCAGAACTAGTTGGAAACACAACATTTAGACATTGTCTTTCATTTCTGCGACTGCTATGGTGCTTTTATTGCTTCATTTCCCTTTAGACATGTTGTTAGCTGCCTCGAGTGCTTGTTTTTTTTTTGTTTGTTTGTTTTGGGGGGGGGAACTGTGAACTAAAAACATAATAAATAAATGAGTAAAATGTGCACTTTCTGTCTAAGAGTGGCTATTAGTATTAGTTTTACATGATAAATTGTCTAGGCTGCCTTCTAACACTAGTTCTTTGTGGGATTTAGAGATTATACTTCTGTTTATCCTAAAATGGTATTGGCCTTTTTTGTAGCCACATCACCCTGTGGGCTCCTATTCAGCTCGTGATCTACAACTATTCCAAGATCCTTCTTACTCAGAGTATCACTGAGTCAAGTATTCCCCACCTTGTAGATGTGCATTTGGTTGTTTTTAGTTTTGTTTTCCCCTGAGCTGCAGTCCTGTGCTACCCAGAAATTTCACAAAAGGTAAAAACAGCAACTTAAAAAACAAAGCTCTGTCTGTTTTGCTTTTCTTCCTATAAATACTTCCAAACTGAATGGAGACACCCTCCCCATCAAATCCCAGCACAGAAGGGAAGAGAAAAGGTCTGTGTTGCATTGGATTAAACTTTGCATCATCTGGCTATTGGGAAAAATCAGATAGCGCAAACAAGCATCAGGCGAAACAAATTGATTGATTGATTGATTTGATTTGATTTGATTTGATTTGATTTGTATCTCGCCCATCAGGTCTATGCGACCACTATTAAATTTATTTATTTAAAATAAATCCATTCGTTTTTAAGTGCCTCAATATTTTGCCCCCCTCTCTCTTCTACCTTTTCTCTTCCCACTTTAATTTCCCCCTTAATTTTGGTTGTTTCATTTGCCATCTCAGAGGCCCTCTGTTCTTCGTACAACTGGGAGGGATTTTTCTGGCCTGAAGGGATTGTATACAGTACTTGTCCAGCACTAACCAATTGATCCTTCCAGCCTTTACGACTTCATAGAGAACCCTGCCTCTTTGCTGGGTTTTTCTTTTTTCCTTCTTGGGCTGTTGGAGGCAGTTGTTTGTTTGCTGTTGATCCGTTTGGTTAGTTGCTAAGCATGTGTGCACTAAAGAAAGCCGTGCATGCACAACTCTTTAATTAAATATATTTGTAGGAAAACGAATAAGAAACATTTCCACTTTTATAACACTTTTTAAGAAGAAAAGGGTGGACTCTGGGGAACTCCTAGCTAGTCTCCTTGTAGAGCTCTGCATTTCTACTGCGGAGCCAGAATAGAATTGGACCCGAAACTCTGCAGCGATTAAAACGCAACTTTCTGAGCTTCCCCCCACCCCCTTCCCGGGGAAAGTCCAGGTGCGCATCCCTGCCGGGAGCAGGATTCGAACCGGCGGCTGGGCTCGGCTGCGCCTTTGAGCGCCCGGCGGTGAAGGGAGGGAGGGACCCGTGGGCCGCCGGCGTGATGTCAGGCCCGGAGGGGCGGAGTGTGCCTCTCCGTCAGCCACCCGCACCCTCGCCGCCTCCGCCGGAGCTGCCTTCCTGGATCGCCGCTCTCCCTTCGCACCTGCCCGTTCCTTTCTAGCCGGGGCGCCGCCGGGTTTGCGCTCCGCGCACAGCGCGCTTCCCCGCCCGCCGTCGGCTTGCGCGCCCGCGGCAGGTGAGTGGCTCCTTTCCCCGCAGCCTCTTGCCGACGCCCAGCGCCCAGCACCGTCCCCGGCCCGCCTGGACTCCGGGGAGGAAGCCAGCCGGGAGGGTCGGCTCGTCTGTTGAAGGATCGCGGCGCGGATCGGCTGGTATGTCAAGGGATCGCGGCCCTCGGGCGCGGACGTCGGGGCTGGGCGGAGGGAGAAGGGACGCCCGTTTTGATTTAGGTTTTGGATTTTTCCCTTGATTTTCCGAGGCGTCCCGGTCGGGCTTTCCCTTGGGAGGCGCGATCCCTGTGGCGCGTCCGCCGGACCCGGTCGGGCTGCCGCGGGGATCGTGAGAACTCTTAACGCGGATCTCCGGCGCCCGTCCTAGCCAGAGAGAGAGAGAGAGAGTCAGTCGAAGTGTTTTCTGTTCAGATAACATAAAACGTGGGTTTTCTGTTCAGATGGAGTCCAGACTATGTTTTTCTTTTTTCTTTTTCAACTTTCCGCTTTGGGATCGTTCCCCGCCTGGACAGGATCCATCCCGAGACTTGCAGGCTGCGAAGGTTTGTGTGATCTCTTGTCACCAGCTCGTTGTGGTGGAAGTTGAGCACTTTGACAATGATTTCGCAGACCATTTTTCTCCGGCTCCTCACTCCCTGTATTGCTTTCCCCTCTCCCGATTTTCAGTTCTCTGCCTAGTTTCCTGCCTCTCCTCCTGCCCGGTCTTTTGTAGGATGTAAAACTGGGCATCCAGCTCATAAATTTGCTTTGTTTTGTACAGCGCTGGACGCCGACGGCGATCCCACTAGCAATGTGCTTTTCTCCACGGCTGTCAGCGCAGACGTGGGTGTATTTACACCAGAGCCAGGAAGAGCTACTTTATGGGACCACATCTTTCTGAATCCCCAGTTTATCTAGGTAGTGGTGGTGGGGTTGTTTCTAAGTGTTTTCAGAAAAACCATGTTTCCTGACTGACTTTTAACTACGTATACTGTATTCTGCTGGCAAAATCCCTGGACTTCAGTGGCTTGTGCGACAATAAATCTTTTTTGTCGTCTGACAAAAAGATCCAGCGCTTTGGGGTGTCGCCTGGATCCCCTTTTAGACAAATTCCGTTGAAACAGGCAGGCTTAAGGAGCTTGAGGACAGCCCTCGGGATGCGGCTGTTTCAGAGCTGTTGACCGAAGTAAATTTGATCTGTATGTAGGGGGAAATGCACACTGTCAGCTTTACCGACTAAGAAAATAAGCCTGAGAGCAATGAAATTTAGCTCGATGTGAGTTGTGTCGGCCGGGTTTGATGGGTTGCAGTTGGGTTCAGGCTTTCTTGAGAGTAAACCCCAGTGCATTTGACACAATGGCATGCGTTTCTGAGTAATCTGAAGATTAGGTTACCTTCCTCTTTTACACAATCCTCATTTACAGGATGAAACCTGTTTTCCACCAAGATCCAAAGTACAGTATCGTTTTGTTAATTCCACGTGCCCAGAGGTGTTTGGGGGTATGTGTGGTTCTTGAACGGCAGTGGCTGCTCATACACAACCCTGTGGTATCCACAGACATTTATTGGAAGACCTGTTGTATTTATGGAAGTTATAAATGCAGTTTTTATTGAGTCTGCTGTCTGGATTACTTGGGATGGGGCTTATTGTTGAATTTTGAAGTTAGAAATCTCACCAGGAACCAAGCCCTTCCAGTTTCAATTTTCTTCTCCTCTCTCTCTCTGTACATGCAGTAATCTGAAGATTAGGTTACCTTCCTCTTTTACACAATCCTCATTTACAGGATGAAACCTGTTTTCCACCAAGATCCAAAGTACAGTATCGTTTTGTTAATTCCACGTGCCCAGAGGTGTTTGGGGGTATGTGTGGTTCTTGAACGGCAGTGGCTGCTCATACACAACCCTGTGGTATCCACAGACATTTATTGGAAGACCTGTTGTATTTATGGAAGTTATAAATGCAGTTTTTATTGAGTCTGCTGTCTGGATTACTTGGGATGGGGCTTATTGTTGAATTTTGAAGTTAGAAATCTCACCAGGAACCAAGCCCTTCCAGTTTCAATTTTCTTCTCCTCTCTCTCTCTGTACATGCCTGATATCAAATGTCAGATTTCAAGGTCCTGAGTGACTAGAAAGGTGTATGTCCCGCAGTTCTTGCCGCGTTGCTCACCTTTCCTTTGACTGCACAGTGTTCGAGGTAATCAACAGTATATTGGCTGATATCAAATGTCAGATTTCAAGGTCCTGAGTGATTAGAAAGGTGTATGTCCTGCGGTTCCTGCCGCATTGCTCGCCTTTCCTTTGACTGCACAGTGTTCAAGCTAATCAAGAGTATACCAAATCTTTTCACATGAGTATGTGGTTTTTTCAAAGTTTTTTTTTTTTTGGCTAGCAGGGTTTGTGGATTCTGGTGTTTGTGTGTTCAAATGTCAGATTTCAAGGTCCTGAGTGATTAGAAAGGTGTATGTCCTGCGGTTCCTGCCGCATTGCTCGCCTTTCCTTTGACTGCACAGTGTTCAAGCTAATCAAGAGTATACCAAATCTTTTCACATGAGTATGTGGTTTTTTCAAAGTTTTTTTTTTTTTGGCTAGCAGGGTTTGTGGATTCTGGTGTTTGTGTGTTTATATGTGTGTGTTTTGGCAGACTTTCCAATCTCACTATACCGCTAAACTGATACAGCACTAATTCAAATCCATACTACATCATATCAGTTAAGCGCTATTTCACTTGCTAAATTTTTTTTTAAGAAGGGAGGAATTTGAATGCAGGACAAAGGGATGGATAAGAGGGTGGCGATAATGGCAGAGAAGGGTATGTGAGAAGAGGGGTTATGTGACAGGATTGCGATTGGAAATCCCATTGACAGGAGGGTTTAGCATTTCTGTATAAACGGTGACAGTGATTTAAAGGCCAAGGTGAGGTATAGAAAAGTTTGCATTAACCTGGGACAAATCAGGGTCACACCCTTTACCTGCTTAGAGTAAAGCATCCTATAGAGCAGGGGTCCCCAACCCCTGGTCCGTGGCCCAGTGCTGGTCCATGGTCATGGCAGGATCCACCACGGAGAGAGGTCTCCCCCTCCACATGCACTCCCCCCACGAATGAACGGCCTGCCCCCCCCGAATGAACGGCCTGCCCACCCGTGAGTGCACCCCGCCCACCCACAAGCACAGTGGGGTGCCCCCCACATGCAGACCCCGCCCCCCAACTGGTCCATGGTTCAGAAAAGGTTGGGGACCACTGCTATAGAGGATGCTGCTTTATTTGTTTCCTACTGTGAGCTTCCCATCAGCATCCGGTTGGCCGAGTAGCAGCAGCAGTGAATGAACGGCCTGCCCACCCGTGAGTGCACCCCGCCCACCCACAAGCACAGTGGGGTGCCCCCCACATGCAGACCCCGCCCCCCAACTGGTCCATGGTTCAGAAAAGGTTGGGGACCACTGCTATAGAGGATGCTGCTTTATTTGTTTCCTACTGTGAGCTTCCCATCAGCATCCGGTTGGCCGAGTAGCAGCAGCAGTGTGCATAGACTGGGTCGGTCTGTGGCCTAATCCAGTGCAGCTCTTTGTATGTTCCCCCGATTCAGGTTTGGGGACTGGAATTGAAGATGCACAGACCGTTGTCATTGGTTGCGGAGAGAAAGAGGATGTTGTTGAACTACGAATTTCTACTTGGTGTTCCTCTGCTCCACCTCCATCTCCCTTCCACCCCACTCCTTGCTGAGGAGGGAGGTGCTGCTTCATCAGACGAGGGAAATAGCGTTTTTTGGGGGCGGGGGGGGGATGTTTTCACCTTGGTGCTTGGCTCTTTTAAAAACAATTCTTTCATTGTGTCCTATTGATTTCTTTGGCGGCTCAACCAGCAGCCTTGAAACTCTACCCCCTGGTTAAATCTTCTTTGCAGAGTGGGAGTGGGTGGCAGCTATGTAATAATGACCCCAGTGTGTGTACTCGTCGCGCAGCCTCGTTGATCATCCGTTTGCCTTGCGTCACCTTTCTTGCAACGGAGAAAGCGCTTACCTACTCTGACCAGGCACCAAGGTTTGGGCGTCAGCACACAAACAAATTGTCTGCATGATAGATGGGTATGTTTGAGTCGCCATAAGTCAGAATTAATTTGATGACAAATGATGATGGTGATTCTGTGGCTTGGGCCTAAGCCATCTCAAGGACCGCATTCCCTTTTATGAGCTTGCTCAAGTGTTAAGATCGTCAGGAGAGGCCTTTCTCTCTCTCTCTTTCACCACCTTCACAGGTGCGTTTGGTGGGGACCCAGGGGAGGGCCTTCTCTGTGGCTGCCCCCAGACTTTGAAGCTCCCTCCCACTGGAGGCAAGGCTGGCCCCACCTTTGCTGTCTTTCCACAAGCAGGCCAAGACCTTGCTCTTCAGGCAAGCTTTTCCTCAGGGAATGGCTGCCCATGTGGGGTTTTGAAAAGGATTGTTATGCTTTACCACTTTTCATTTGCTGTTGATGTTGCCTATGCTTTTTTTGCTCTTCATTATTTGATCCTTTTTAGTATTTGTATTTAGTATTTGTATTTGTCTTGTCAGTGGGGTAAAATATATTTAATATCCCACTCTGAAAGGTCAAGAAATCATTAAACAAGGGCTCCAACACATACGGTGACCTGTGACCCCCCTCCAAATTTTTTTTTGCGACCCCCAGGTTGGGAAACACTGAGGTAGAGAATACCCGGAAGTGCATTACCATCCTCTTCCTCTAGGGGTGCTCTGGGATTGTGCAGCTTGCTCAGAGCTACACAGGCCGGCTCTACTCATAGCAGACAAAGTGGGGTATTGAACTCCCAACCTCTGCCTCCACATCCACTTAGCTAAACTACTGAGCTATCCAGTCAGCTATGTCTTATTAATGGTACATTATTAATATAATATCATCTGGTGGCATACAATGTGAAGCTTGCCCAAGGCTACCCAGGCTGGCTCTTCTCCCAGTAGGCACGGGGGGGGGATCCCACTCCCAACCTCTGGCTCCACAGCCAGATGCCTCAACCACTGAGCCATCTGG